GTCTTCCTATCAAGATGTAGCCAGCACCACGTCTGCCTGTATGCCGCCATGCTCCCCGCCATGATGATAATGGACTGAACCTCTAAAACTGTAAATGAGCAACCCCAATTAAAAGTTTTCCTTTCTGCCGGGCGGTGGTGGCGCACGCCTTTAATCCCAGCACTCGGGAGGCAGAGCCAGGCGGATCTCTGTGAGTTCGAGGCCAGCCTGGTCTACAGAGTGAGATCCAGGAAAGGCGCAAAGCTATACAGAGAAACCCTGTCTCGAAAAACCAAAAAAAAAAAAAAAAAAAAAAAAAGTTTTCCTTTCTAAGAGTTTCCATGGTCATGGTGTCTCTTCACAGCAGTAGAAACCCCAACTAATATAAACACCAATATACCATGATACAGTGTGATCTCAGAATCCCACAGTATAACTTTGGATGGAAGAAACCTGAATCCCCGTCAGCTGGCGGGAAACTGAAACCCCTTCTCTAGTACAGGCTGGGCCTCTTTACCCAAAATGCCTGGCACCAAAAGTTCCTCAGATTTTGAGTATTTTTAAGTTTCAGAATAATTGCATACACGCAGGTCTGAAAACAAATTCACTGGTTTCCTAGGTATCATATGCATGAAACCGGAAGGTATTATGTAGTTTTAGGTGTATCTGAATTTTGCCTACAGCCTATCATAGGCCATTGGGTAACCTGTTGGTGCTTATACATTCTCAGAGTTTGGGTTATGTTGTAATTTGTACACATGGACTAGAGATGCCCAGCTGCTATGACAGTCCATCAGATCTCTCTCTGTCCATCACTGACTAACTCTGAACCGGGCCAGTCTTTAGTCTTTCCACACCCTGGCTTACACGGCCCCCAAATGAAGACAATCATAACACCTAGGACACTGCAGATTAAATGACTATAATCCCCACAAGCACACTTAGAATACGATCTTCCGCCAAAGAAGCCCTCTGTGTTAGCTGTGGTTAGAAGAGCAGATTCCTGAAACACAGCCTGAGTCGGTTTTAGCAAACACAGTTCCCACTCACAGCAAAGACAAAATAGCAGCGAAGAAAACGTACAGATGTCTCAGTCCCAGGTCTTTGGTTTTCATATATGAAAAACGGGAGCCAGGCTAACAAAACCACTGAAATGTTGGGAATCCCATAGAAGTGTGGGAGGCTCCGGGGAGGAACTAAAAAAGTTCGACGGCAAATGAAAATGCAATAGCCGTATTGACCGAGGACACATTCCACAGCCGACAGCCAGGAAGGTCAGGACAGCCGTTCCCTCGGCTTCATTTCAGAAACTCTAATTTTTGTTAATTTTCCTAATTAAAACGAAGTTTGCCTTTTGAACACCCACTCTCTATGTAAATTCAGAGCTCGGCCTTGGTAAACCACAGTGGTGGGAGTGTTTATCTTTTCCTGGCTGGCTTGGCAGGCTTTCCTCGAGGGATGTGGAATACAGCTGGGACCGTCCTCTCGTTTATTGTCAACAAGCAAGCAGCCCAGACCACAAAGGACAGTTGTCAGAAAAGGGGGGAGCTGGAAGCTGAAACATGTTGCCATTTTGTTTGGAAATGAAGGCAATGAACAGAATCAGAAGCGGCAGGGAACTAAAACCTTCACAGCAGCCAGCCGAGAGCAGGCCAGCAAATGCCAGGCAATGAGGAAATACAGGACTACTGCACAGAGACCTCGGAGCGGGAGAGGCCAGGGGTGGGACAGAGGCCAGGCAACAGGTGCAGGCAGCTCGGGGTTCCACAAAGCGAGGAGAACCTGGAGTCCCTTCAGGAGCAAAGAGCACACCAGCTTTGATTTGTGGTTGAGGGAAGAGGAACCCTTATCTAAGTCAGGTGGCGCTGGCAGAAATGCAGGCTTGGAACAGACCTGGGAGGAACCCACTCTAGCCATGGTGTTTCCATTCGTGCTGTCCACTAGTTCATTCCAATGAACAGTGTTTGCTGAACTTTAAAGGGATCTGAGGGACTCCCTGTCCCATTAGTTCCCAATTTTTATTCACAGGCTGCCCTTTGTTTTCTACTGCTGTGATAACACACCAGGATCAAATGCAACTTGGGAGGAAAGGGTTTTAATTTCCATGTCCCCATCGGAGTCTGTCACTGAGGGACAAAGTAGGAACCCAAGTAGGGCAGGAATCTGGAGGCAGAAACGGAAGCAGAGGCCATGAAGGAATGCTGCTTACTGGCTTCCTTTTCAGAGCTTGCCCAGCTTGTGTTTTTATACAACCCAGGACCACCCTGAAGGATTAGCAGCCCCCCTCCAGTGGGCTGGGCCCTCCCACATCGATTATTAATCAAGAAAATGTCACATGAGCTTTGCGACACACCAATCTGATGGGGGCATTTTCTCAACTGATGACTCTAACTTGTGTCCAGTTGACCAAAATCTAACCAGCACTTACCGCTCGGAGGAGCCCAGAGTTTTTGTTCAAAACACAAGTGATGCCGAGTAGGGCAGCACTTGGAAAGAAGAGGTTCATCAGTTTAAGGCCAGCAAAAGCAACAAGACACTCCTGACTGAATTCATAGATAAAATGTGGACTAGAAATGACCAGAGTCTGGGGCTGGGTAGGTAACAGGGACTGTTCAATAGGCACAGAGTTCCTGCTAAGAACGATGAAAACACTCTGGGCAGGGCAGGCAGCAGCGTGGATGTTCTTGGTGATGCTGAACTGTATGCTTTCAAATGGTCAAAGTGCCAAGCCTTGTGTTTGAATGTAAAACCATCGGAAGAGGAAAAATGCATTACTGTTGCAAAAGGAAAAAAAAAATGGTGATACACCACTTCCAATATGCCTGGCCCAGAGATTATTACAACTTTTGTTTGTTTTTAGATTTTTGAAAAAGGGTCTCACACCGTAGCTCAAAATGGCCTTGGAACTCACTACATAGCTCAGGCTGGCCTCAAATGCAATCCTCCGGCTTCAGCTTCCTGAGTGCTGCGATTAGAGATGTGAGCCACCAGGCCCCGCTCCATTACACCTTAAAAAATAGCCCAAAGGAGCTTGATGGAAGTGATCTGAGGACCACATTTTAAACTTATCAGTTTTTTAAAAGCTTGTTTCCCTTTTAGAGAGAGACACACTGAAGTGCACAAAGGTGCTCAGATACGATGCACTGTGGCCAGTGTGGAGGAGCAGGTGCAGTAATGATGGTGTAGAGAAAGCAGTGTGGCCTTGAGGAGCTCACTGTGGACACGTGGGGCTTCTTTGTTCACTGTGACACCCTTCTGCGTAGGGTTGAAATTCTCTGTAACAAAAACACTTTCAAAAAAGATTCAACTGGAGTGTAGGTCTGACCACAAGGGAAGACTGAGAAAGGGGTAGAGGGCAGTGCCAGCCTGCTGTATGTAGGTCAGTGTGGCTGAGGATCCCATGCAAGCACTATGCTCTCTTTGATGCTGTAACTGGTGGGAGGGGGGCATTCACCTGCAGCATCCACAGTTCCATCATCAGGCCAAGATTGAGCTGAAGTAAGCCAATGCTCTTGCCTGGCATCACCAAAGGGAGCTAAGTAATCTGCACTCCTCTGGGGTTCCCTGCTGGGCTGGATCATGCTCCTGAGGCACAGTGACAAATGGGAGTGTCCAGACAAGAGGAACAGGTTGGTAAGGGACTGAAGACAACAGCATGTGAAAAATGCTGAGACACTAAGAACGATGGGCTTAGAGAAGACAAGTTCTTAGGACCTGTGACAGGTTTCTCTCAAGTTAGGAAAGCAAGGGATATAGCACGGGGACGTGTGTTTCAGAAAGTGGATGTTAGGAGGAGCTATAGTTTGGATCAAGAGGAGAACGTTACTTGTTCAAGTGTGGTAGTGCCGATGGAGCTAGAAGCAGCGTTGAGCTACAAGTAAGCCCTTGTGTTGTTCAACTGCACTGAGCTGTGTCTCAATGGAGTGACCTCCAGCCACTGCTGAAGGTGCGTAATGGTTATACAGAAGAGGCCCAGAGTGCTATGGAATGGGAGACAGGCTCTGGTACTATGAGAATTGGAGCTGAGAACCACCATTATGAACTGTGGGCCGTGTGCAAGGCTTTGCCTCTCTACTCAATTCTCTTTGTTTGTAAAAGCAGCAGGTTGGAGTTGACATCTCGGGGAAACAAGCCAGATGGCTGTTGAGATCCCTTTTCCTGTCCCATCTGTGAATTGCTCTCTTTGCCGCTAGCCTGTCAGCACTCCAGACTCAACTGCCCACTGTGGGATCAGCTGTCCTGTCCAATTACTCCAGTCCGTCACGGGTGCTGCTGTTCTGATGGGCTTCTTGGTGAGACATCTCAGAGTCTCTTTGCCGCCTTCTTCTCTCTGGGTCTCTCTGTCTCTGCCTCAAGAATGTTTCTGTGATTTGCTCTTGATTCTGCAAGTCTGTTGACACCATTATAAGCTGGCCCCATCACATAGCATGCAGACAGTAGCTGCTGATTTCTGAATCAGAATGGACCCTGGAGAGTCAGGCCCAACCTGCCCGCTTTCTACAAAGAAAAATGAGCCACCAGCACTGAACAGTGAGGTCACATGGTTCATAGTGGTGGTTCATAGCTCTAGTACCACACTCTTTCTGTTCCTCCGTGTCTCACCAGCCCTGGGACTTCTTCTCAGGCCACCCTGGTATGTTTCAACATCATTAATTTTACAGAGATTGGCCATGACTTAAGCTCAGGATGATTGGTTTATTTGTACAATACTAGGATGATCTTCAGTTAAACTACATGTGTGCACATCCAAGAACTATCCCCACTTGTCCCTGCAAGAGAACAAGGGTCTGCTTTGAGTTAGAGAACACAATCTTTTCCGTGCTTCTCACACATACTGCCAAAGCAGGACTGCTGAATTGTGAAATAAAGAGAATTCCTAGCCAGCTCAGGCTCTCTGGAGTCCGTAAATCCAGGTCGTTGGGATACTAAATGTATCGTTGAGCTCCAATGAGCACAAAAATGACATACATCATGTAAACTGGCTGTGCCCCGATTATGTCCATAAAAGGCCCTGGACTCACTTAGGTTCTTCTGTGGCTGTTCTGGTCTCTTCTAGTTCTTGTGCTTGTTTCAGCCAAGGTAATTTAGCTTCCACTGGACTTTTTTCTGAGAGAGAAAAAAGAAAGTAAACAATGAATTTTATTACTATCCATCATTAAGGACTTTGATACATGCTTGTTATTGACTGGAGAGTTCATTAATACGGGGTTATACTTTCCAAATACACAGTACATTTGCTTCTGGAATGAATAAAATTCCTGCTATTTTTTTAATTAACACATTACAGAATGCAACCAAAATGATCCCTGTTATAATGAATGCAGTTGAACATCCAAAAGTTAAACATCCAAATGCCTTACATAACTCAACACCCCTTTCTGCTCCTTTTATATTGAAGCTCTTATTCCAACAATATCAGAGTCTTCCTTTTGCCACAAATTCTTCTGGTCTCTTGAATTAATAAATTAATAGAGAAAAGCAAATATCAAGAGGCCAGTGAAGTGGAAAGATGAGATTCTGTGTGTGGCTTATTCAAATTCCATTGTTACCATGGGAGATGAAAACCATCTACATGGGCATGAAAGGGACAGTTGCTATGTCCTTCTGTCCTTTGAGGCTTCCATGACAGGAGGAGAGAGCTAATCCAGTTGTGAAGTGAAGAATTTGGAGACACTTCAGGGATACTAGAAACACCGAGAAAAAGCCTGTGGAAGTCCTGTTGATGACAGAGGTAATAAGCAAAAGCTTCAAGATGGGAACCTATAATGACTGTGTGCCTGCATGCATGGCAGCTAGTGCTCTTTCCACACGATGGGCTCAGTCAGACACATGTAGACTGATGAACTGTGGGGCTATCTGTATAAACAAGGAACCGAGAATTCCTGAGGAAGAATTTTACCATTCTGTCTGCAGCACTAAGGAAAAGTCTTTACAAAGAGGTGAGAACAATCTTTTCCCATTTTCTTTTTATCACATCTGTCTATCTACCCATCTATCTATTCACTTGTGTGTGTGTGTGTGTGTGTGTGTGTGTGTGTGTGTGTGTGTGTGTGCACATGTTAGCACTGATGTATAGGGCAGGGGACAGTTTTTTTTTTAGAAGTCATGGTTTTTTGGTTCTACTACATGGGTTCCAAGGATCAAAGCAGGTTGGCAGGGTTGGCAGGTACCTTTACCTGCTGAGCCAGTTCTCTAGTTATCTTTTTCTATGTCAAGAAGATACCTGTCATAAGAATAGGCACAGGGAAATAAATATGGGGTGGGGAGCAAATATCTGAGAGGTGATCAAGACTTGCTAGTCATAAATGTCTGCTTATCCACATGAACCAAATGAGAAATCCTAAAGGCACTCACAGAGTGGCAACTAAGTCTTCATTCACCCCATGCACTGTGACACACGATAATGTCATCATGCCTCTATCAAGGGGCATTGCAGTAGAGAGGCACCCACACATTTCGAGAGCAAAGAAGGATGAAAAGAGCTATTCTGGGCATAAGAGCAGCTGACTCCTCCCTCTTTTATTGATCTCCTTTTCTTCTTCACCCTCTCCTTTTCCTTCTCCTCCTCCTCTTTCTTTCTCTTGATGGTGGGAACTACACAAGGAAATACTTTATGTCCACCATGAAATGTGAGCCCAAATCTAGACAGATGAGAACCACCCTGTGTGAACTACATTAACAGCAATCCAGTTGTCCCTCCAGATCATAAATCACATATGTCCAACTTCCTTAGCCAGATCCCTTGCAAACTGTCAACAAAACCATCCTCATAAGAAAATAAATGGGAATGGAAATTTCCCAGTAGGGAACGAGAGCTGGAAAACCCTATTTGACTTTGGTTACAACACACTTCATGCTTACCCTTAGGCTTATAGCATGGGATGGGGATGACACACTCCTCTTTGATGTGCAGTTTCATCTGTGGGTTGCAGCCCCCGACATGCTGCCCACGATGGTTGATACACAGAACCACTCGGTAGCGCAACCCTTGGCCACAAGTCACTGTGCACTTTGAGAAAAGGTAGGAGAAGCCAGTGAGTAGCTTTAGCTGGATAAGGTGTACAAAGTCATCATTTTTAACATACAGAGGGGAACTATGCATCTACGTGACCATTAAACACAAAGATCTCCATATAAGATGTTGAGTGAAGGAGATGGAGGTTGATTTTCTGGGATGCTATGTTTCAGGGACCTCCCTTACACAGCCCCCTTCTAATTTTCTTTGTTTTAATTTTATTTTAAATGTATGGATACTTTTCTGCATGTGCCTGGTGCCTGTGGAGGCCAGATGAGGGTGTCGGATCCCCTGGAAGGTTTTAAGCTGCCTTATGAGTGCTGGGAATTGAACCCTAGTCCACTGGAAGAACAGCTGGTGCTCTTAACCACTGAGCCATATCTCCAGTCTCATATAATTTTCAATTCAAAGACATTTAAGATGAGCTTACAATGCAAGAAGGGCAAATGTTCTGAATTTCCTGTGCTCCATTATGAAAGAAACTTGATGCAGGCTTTCCAAAGCTTACACTTTTCTTAAGACATTACCCAAAGCAATTTGTGAAATTAAAGAAATTCTTCTCAACAATGAATAGAAGAAAACTAACTTCAACCAACCACTCCAGAGGATCAAATTATCTGTTCTGTCTACAGTGATCTTGCAGAGTTATCATATAAAGAGACCATCAGGGGATTATTCAGTCACACAGTATGAGAAAACTACCATAAGGATGGGGAGAGAGCTCAGTCAGCAAAGTCCTTGGGCAAGTTGAGGACCAGAGTCTGAGTCCCCAGCACCCATGTAAATTGTTGGGCATGGCAGGGTGCACCTGTAATCCCTGGCAAACACAGGTGGATCCTTGAGACTTGCTGGCTACCCTTGCTGAGTAAGTGAGCTCCAGGTTCAGTGAGAGAACCTGTGTCACAAAGTATGTGCATGTGCACATAAGTATATGTGTGTGTATAATCTATGTTCCACATCTGAGAGAAAACATGTCATATTTGCCCTTCTGAGTCTTGCTTATGGTTAGATACCCCAGCCCCTTAGGTCCTTGGTAGATAAGGTTTTAAGCAAGGCATGAAAACAAACCCCAAAGCCTGCCATCTGGAATCCAATGCAGCTTGACTGGGGTCACCAGTTATACCAGTTCCATTCTTGCCTCTAGCACCTCTGGAATTCTTATCAAGCAGTCTAAGTCAAATAAGCCCATAAAACTGCTTACTTATTAACTAAGCCTGCTTCCCCGGGGTATAAAGGCCAAGGTTTGGGATACCCATGAGAGTGGAGAGCTTCTTTGTCTGATGGGCTAAAATTCTGCTTTTTATTAGACCTTTCTTCTCCTGCCTCTCTCTGTCTCTGTCTCTGTCTCTGTGTCTCTCTCTGTCTCTGTCTCTCTCTCCCTCCCTCCCTCCCTCCCCCCTCCTTCCCTCCCTCCCTCCATCCCACCCTCCATAAAATCTAATACTTCACTTAAATTTAATGCTTTGGGTCATGCGAATCTCACAGAAATTTTGAGGTTTCACAGAAAACTACCACACATCCCTTGCCCACCTTGCTTCCTTGCTTCTGTATGGTCTGGCTGTTGCCACTGACCAGCCAGTACCTGAGTGACCCCTTACCTGTGGTTTCATTTTCTATGCCTCCAGTTACTTGTAGTTTACCACAGCTCAAACACATTAAAAGGAATCTTCCAGAAATACACAAAGCACATTTTTTTTTTTTTTTTTTTTTTTTTTGGTTTTTCGAGACAGGGTTTCTCTGTGTAGCTTTGCGCCTTTCCTGGAACTCGCTTTGGAGACCAGGCTGGCCTCGAACTCACAGAGATCCGCCTGGCTCTGCCTCCCGAGTGCTGGGATTAAAGGCGTGCGCCACCACCGCCCGGCCATAAAGCACATGTTTTAAATAACTAAAGTATATTATTAAAATTGTTCCATTTTATTATGGTTATTATTGTTAATCTCTTACTGTTTAACTTTTAAATGAGGCTTTATGATGATGGGTAGGTGTGCACAGGACAAACACAGTGAAATTCTATTCCAAACACACAGGGTTTGGTGTTGTCCAATTCAGCCACCCACTGGGGTCTTGCAAGTACCCCTCCCCCAACAGACGAGGAGGCCACAATCCTGAGACATTGTTATTCAAGTCCAAAGTTCTTCCCCGACTTTCCCTCAGTTTTTTAAAAGCTGTCATTTCTTCTCTTCCTCTAAATGAACACCCATTCACTCCAATACTCTGTATTACTGCTTCCCCCCCTTAAGTGGTCACCTCCAATCTGTACACACTTTGAGTCCCTTGGACCTTGAACCGACCCCTGGGAAGATCCTGGAGAGTCCCTGAACACCTGCTGAGAGATGGGCACTGTCTTGAACACATAATCCATCTCACTGCCTCGCCTGCCTCCTTGTAGAAGAGGTGGTCCTCTCCCTCTCAACAGATGGGCTCATCAGAGCCACTACCTGAGACCCTGTTCAAGTTCCCACAGTTCTTGAGAGACCAAGAATTCCTTCCCAGCACTCCCTGCTGCCAACACCCACCCACTCCCCACCCCCGCCACTGCTCCAGAGCACACAGGCATTCTCTTCTGAATTTCCCAGGTGCTTTTCCCACACATCTCTCTGGAGGACTTTCTCTGCATGCACTTCACCATGAAGGCTGGGTATTTGGGGCAGCCCTTACCACATTATGTCACCCTTTTTTCTGTATTAAGGATCAAACATAGGACCCCACGCATACTAGGCAAGTGGTCTACCACTGAGCTATATCCCTAGTTCATCCTGCCATTCATGAAAGCACCCACCAAATTCTGTAGTGAAGTGTGTGACTAGACCTTAGACCCTGTTTCTAGAAAACTGATTCACTCACTCTTGAATTTATCAATTTGAAATATATATGTATGTATATGATATTGAAAAACTCTTTATATCATATGCTATAAAACCAATAACAAATGATTGCTGACTCCACATCTCATCCTAGCAGTGAATACATGCACAACATTTTGAGTCCCAATTCACTTACCAGAAAGGCTAATTTTAAATGAAAACTTACTTTTTATGTATAATATTTTTACCATAATTTAAAATAGATTTATATTGTTTTGATTGGACACTGGAATGGAATTTAATAACAACCGAATTCAAGAGAACATTGACATTTAGAACTCTCTGGCCAAAAGAAACAAAATGACTTTATTTACTAGGTGAATTTTCTTGGAGAATGGTAGAACAGTGTGATCAATAAGAGCCTTTAAAACAGAAAAAATACATTATTTTAGGATAGAGCTTTTGGGAGAGTAGCTTGAAAGTGAATTCAAGAGGAGAATTACATAAATCAAACAGTCAAGGAGCTCATTCTTGCTATTTACAGAAGACAGAAGGGACAGAAATGACCATGACATTTAGAGTCCCCTGGACATAGTTTTTAAAATGCCATAACAGTTTTATTTTAAGATGTCATCATTCACCACACATAGGAAATGATACTTTTTGCTATTAAGCTTACCATACAAGTGCATATGTCAACCTAAATACAGGGGAAAGAGTAAGTCATTTTCCAAACTTCTTTTAGGGGGAATCTGGATGCAAGCAGAGTTGATACTCCTGTCCTAAAAGCACAAACCAAGTTCTCCAGGCTGATACTCAGCATGGATATCCAATGCTGACCAAGTGACTTTCTACCCAGCCCATACACATGTCTTCCAATCCCACTGCAAGTGCAACCTCCTTCCTGGAGCACTCCTGGACCCTTCAAGTGGGGTGAATCTCATCACCTTGTGGCCCCAAAGTACCACATGCCGAAGCCACACCACGCATGGCCAACTACGGAGGTCCACTGTATGAAAATTGTCTGCATGTATGTCTGGTGCAACTAAATTCTAAGTCTTTGGGAGTTGGAGGCTAGCATTCTCTCTTTCCGGCATGCCAATTGACACACCACACAGATGAATACCTAACTAAAGTGAACATAATATAGTTCCATGCAAAAGAGCTATAGAAACTTAAATCTATTACACCCTCATCTCTAGAAAATTAAGAGACTAAGATTAAACATATTGCATTGCTTACCTCTGACTAAGCTGCTGTGGGATAATGCTCTTGTGCACTATAAAGATTTGTCACTCTTTTGGTTTAATAAAATGCTGATTGGCCAGTAGCCAGGCAGGAAGTATAGGTAGGGCAACCAGACTAGGGGAATTCTGGGAAAAGGAAAGGCAGAGACAGAGTCACCAGCCAGATGCAGAGAAATTAAGATGAGAATGCTGGACTGAGAAAAGGTACCAAGCCACATGGCTAAACATGGACAAGAATTATGGGTTAATTTAAGCCTAAGAGCTAGTTAGCTACAAGCCTAAGCAGTAGGTCAAACAGTTTATAATTAATATAAGCCTCTGTGTGTTTATTTGGGACTGAATGGCTGCAGGACCAGGCAGGACAGAAATTTCCATCTACACTAATTTAACAGCATTTTATTTGTTCTAGAAGGCAATTCTCCCCTCTCTCTAGACAATTGATCTGACATGAGGTCTTGTCAAACCTCTGGGGTATTTTCCCTCTTCTCTTCTTCTTCCTGTTTTCTTCATGTTTTCTAAGAGGCCACTTTCCTCTCAAGGCCTTTCCTGATGGTTGGCTGTCTTCTTCAATGATTTCAAACACAATTTCTCTCAAAAAGGTGCCCAGTTTCTTAAGTGCTAGATCAGGACACATTTCTAACGTCATGTCAGGGTTTCTACCTTCACCTTCCAGTCCCTAGAAACATGCTCTCTCCTTAATCTACAGACATCTGAACCATCTTTTGTGTGTGTGTGTGTGTGTGTGTGTGTGTGTGTGTGTGTGTGTATTATAATTAACTTAATTTCACATATCAGCCACAGATTCCCCCATCCTTCCTTCTCCCACCCCCCATTCCTCCCCCAATCCACCCCCCATTCCCACCTCCTCCAAGGGGAGGTCTCCCCTGGGGAGTCAGCCCAGCCTGGTAGACTCAGCTGAGGCAGGTCCAGTCCCCTCCTCCCTACACTAAGGTTGAGCAAAGTGTCCCAGCATAGGCCCCAGTCATCCAGTGTCTAATGGAAGTGGATGCAAAGATCTACGGTCTAGCCCCAGGTGGAGCTCCAAGAGCCCAGTCGGCAAGAGAGAGGAGGGATTGTATGAGCGAGAGATATTGAGACCATGATTTGAAAAAGCACAGGGACAAACAGCCAAACTAGTGGAAATGCAAGAACTGTGAACCAATGGCTGAGGAGCCCCCAAGGAACTGGACCAGGCCCTCTGGATAAGTGGGACAGTTGATTAGCTTGAACTGTTTGGGAGGCGCCCAGGCAGTGGAGCCAGGACCTGCCCATCTTGTCTTTTTAAAAAATATTTATTTTTGTCAGTACTTGGAGAATCTCATACATTTTAGCTTGAGCATAGTCACTCTCTCCCACCAACTCCTGCCAGACCCACCCTCCCCATTCTATACCCACCCAACTCTGTGTCTTCATTATTTTTAAAACACCCACCAAGTGCAATTAGCGCTGCCCATATTCTTGGGTGTGTGACCATACTCTGGAGCATGTTCGACCAACCATAGCCACAACTTTAAAGAAAACTAACTCTCCATGACCACCTCCCTACTCCATGCTAGGATTTTGTCTGGTTTGAGCTTACAAAGATCTTCGTCCATGCCGCCCCACTGCTGGGAGTTCATATGTACACCTGCCCTGTTGTATCTTTTTGTTTGTTTGTTTGTTTGGCTGATTTGTTTTTGAGACAGGGTTTCTCTTTGCAGGCCAGGCTATCCTGGAACTCACTCTGTAGACCAGGCTAGCCTCTAACTCAGAGATCCAGATCCACCTACCTCTGCCTTCTGAGTGCTAGGATTAAAGGCATGTGCCACCACCACCCAGCTAGCCCTCTTGTGCTTAATGACTTATTATACCTGTAGACCCGTGAATCTCTCTATAATCATCAGGGAAGCTTCTTTTTATAGTATATGATGACTAACATAGATATCCACAACCAGTCAAGGCACAGAGAAAAAGTGGCTATGGAGAGTGTTCAGCCCTAAAAGAGATGTCTATAGCACACCCCCTCCCCACAAGGCTCAGGGATCACTGTGGAAGAAGGGGCCGAAAGACTTCAAGAGCCACAGGTGGTGGATGACCACAAAACAGTGTTCTCCAGCACAACTATGCTCTTTTCCAACTTCTAGGTGCTCTATTTCATACTTGCATTTTTTGACAGTATCTTCTTGGCCATCAGCCCCAGCTGTGTTCTCTCTAAGCTCTTGCTTGCTCAGAATCTACTTTCTTCAAGGAAGCTTAAGCCTTACAATGGCAGCAATGACTTCCTCCCTGATAACTTTGGCATTTGCACCTTCCACATGTACTACAGTCCATAATAGCAATAATCCTTACCTGAACTGATGCCTGTGACCACTTTCCAGTTGTCCTATCTTCTAGAGCTCTTTGGATATAGGGATTGTGTTCACATATATTATTTATTTGCATATTTTCTTGTTTATTTTATGTGTGTGATATGTATGTGTGCATGCACATTTGCATGTGTGATGGTTCACGTGTGTGCATGTGCATGTGTATTTAGAGGCAGGAAGTTGATGTGGAATATTGTCCTTGATCATATTCTATTTCATTTACTGAGGCAGGTTCTCTCACTGAACCCAGAGCTCACTGATTCTGGCTAATCTAGCTATCTATCTTGCCTCAGGATCCCCTCTCTCTCTTTCCCAAGTGCTGAGGTTGTAGGTAGTCATCAGGACTGCCTGACTTTTTAAAATGAGTTTCAGGGAATCTGAATTCTGGCCCTCATGATTGCATGGCGTAGTGGTTTGAAAGAAAATGGCCCCCATAGGTTCAAAGGGAGGGGCACTTAGGAGATGTGACCTAGTTGGAGGAAGTGGTTACTGGGGACAGGTTTTGAAGTCTCAGATGCTCAAACTATGGCCAGTGTCACTGTCACTTCCTGCTGCCTGCAGATCCAAATGTAGAACTCTCCAGCTACCTCTCTAGCACCATGTTTGCCTGCATGCCTCTATGCTTTCCACCATGGTGATAATGGATTAAAGCCAGCCCCAATTAAATGTTTTCCTTTGTAAGAGTTGCTGTGGTCATGATGTTTCTTCACAGCAATAGAACCACTAAGACAGAAGTTAGTACCAGGGATTTGGGCATTGCTATGAGAGGCCTAAGCATGCTTTTGTTGGTAGGAATGTGGACTTTGGGATTTTGGATTAGAAAAGCAGTTTAATGCTTTAAGTGGGGCCTAATGGGCCATACTAGTAGGAGCATGGAGAACAGTGGTGCTAAAGCTGATTTGAACTGTGGGGACCTGGATCAAGAGGTTTCAGAGGAGAAGAATACTAATATATGGCCTGAAGATTGTTCTTTTGATATTTTGGTGAATATTTTTTTTACTCTTGTGTGAAAAAGTCCACCTGAGGGTAAATTGAATAGTTTTGCATTAGTTGCATTAGCAAAAGAAATCTCAAAACAGCCTAGTATTGACTCTGTTGTGTGGTTACTAGTGTTCACTCTTATGAAGATCTGTAATGAAAAGGAGCAAGCCGAGAAAGGAAAAATACAAAATGTACAATTCAAAGAGAAAAGGAGCACCAGGAGTAGAACGGAGCTACATCCTGTGTTCAAGGAGATAAACAGATTAAATAAAAGCCTGATGTTAAATGCAATAAAAGAAATGGTAACTTGGGACAAAATCCCAACCAACTAAGCTTCCAATTTGTGTAAAGGAATTAAAGAAAAGCTTATAGCAGGATGTGGTGCTGTACACTTTTAATCCCAGCACTAGGAAGGCAGAGGCTGGGGGATCTCTTGAGTTTGAGGTCAGTTTGGTTTACAGAATGAGTTCCAAGACAGCCAAGTTTAGGCAGTTAAGAAAACCATCAACAACAGAAAGCTGGTGAAGATGTAATTGTATGAGGGGGTCCACAGTCCATTCCCAGTAAGCAGCAGGACTTGGCGGCCAGCCCCTTGGTTCTGGCGTTAGAGTCAAAGATAAAAGAAAGGGATTCTGGAATCTCCCTTTGTGACTAAGGAAAGTTGCCGAGGCCAGGCATGTGTCAGGGGTGTCCCTGAATGGAGGCCTAAAGAGGCCATTGTGTGAAGCTGTGAAAGCGAAGCTTGGGTTGTCTTGGAGACCCCAAAATGTTAGAGGTGCCAGAACAGTGGGATACTTGCCAAGGAGAGCTGCTAACAGGGACTGGAACCAGCCCAAGAGAAAGAAGTGTGCTGCAGTCAACAAAGCTGAAAGGAGTTGGAGATCTGAAGAGAGTTTTGACATCAGACATGGAGATGCAGAGTTTAGAGCTTGCCCAGCTGGTTTTTGGTCTTGCTTTGGTCCAATATTTACTCACTATGTACCCTTTCCTCCCTTTTGGAACAGTAATGCATATCCTGTGCCATTATATGTTGGAAGTACGTGATCTGCTATTTATTTTGATTTTATAGGAAATTACAGTTGAGAGATTTCATGAGTCTCAGAAGAGACTTTGAACTTTCGACTTTTAAATGTTGAGACTGTGATAGAGAATGGGGACTTCTGAAGTTGGACTTAATACATTTTTGTATTATGATGTGCCTACAAGCCTATGGGGGCCAGGGAGTGGAATGTAGTGGTTTGAAAGAAAATGGTCCCTATAGACCCATAGGGAGTGGCACTATTAGGAGGTGTGGCCTTGTTGGAGGAAGTGGTCACTGGGGGCAGGCTTTGTGATCTCAGATGCTTAAGCCACACCCAGTGTCACTGTCACTTCCTGCTGCCTACAAATCCAGATGTAGAACTCTCAGCTACCTCTCCAGTGCCATGTCTGCCTGCATGTCTCCATGCTTCCCACCATGATGATAATGGTCTAAACCTCTGATCTATAAGCCAGCCCCAATGAAATGTTTTCCTATATAAGAGTTGCCATGGTCATGATGTCTCTTCACAATAATAAACCTCTAACTAAGACGCATGGTAAGTATTTTATCCACTGAACCGTTTCCTCAGCCCCTTATATACAACTTTTCTAAATCATGATATCTAGTAAAATTTCAGACACATAGCAAATAGTCATTAAAACCTCATATTTAATAAAAGTGTCATGTTGTCAAATCTCACCTGAGACCACTCCATGGCAACCCACTTGGGGCAATCAAACAGGTTGCAAGTTTGCATCACCTTGGGCTTGGGTGCATACATGCACTTCCATTCTTCTACTTGGAGTATCTCTGCGTGCATAGATTCCTCTACACACACAAAACTCCGTCTCTGAATCCCTCCTCCACAGGACACCGAACATGCAGTCCAAGGATTATGTTCCCAGCTCAAAAGCAAACAAAGAAAATTACATTATTTATTTGATGTATGCTTGTTTGTTTCAAGTATGCAAGGGCTTTCAAAAAGGGTGACATCATAGTATCATGTCATGGCTCTAATGAAAGAATACAAGACTCAAGTCTCCTAGGACTTGAATCTTAACTACAGTTACAAGGAACTCACCTTCTCTGAACATGAGTTTTCTATAGGATGGGAAAAATATACCCACCTCAGTTAGCCTTCAAAGGACCATTATGAAGATTGAGTTAATTAGAATATAGAGTGTGAAAGGGTCTTTAAATTGTTTCTCAATTAAAAAGTACTAATGGACCATATTACTGAGAATCATAGACTGTCAAAATCAAAAGAACCACACTATTTGGTCATGGTGTCACATGTCTATAGTTCTAACACTTGGAAGGTAAAGGCAGGAAGATCAAGAATTTGAGGCAACTTCAGCTACATAGAGAATCCAAGGCCAGCCTGGACCACATGAGATCCTGTTTCAACAAAACAGCAAGAAAAAAAGGAAGGAAACAAAGTGGAGGGAAGGGATACTAGTCATCCAGCTATCCAAGAGGATTCAAGTGTCTGAGCAATGTTCAGTGATTCTCAACCTGTAGGTGGTCAAACGACCCTTTCACAGGGGTCAGATATCAGATATCCTGCATATCAGATATTTACATGATGATGCATAACAGCAAAACTACAGTTGCGAAGTAGCAACGAAAATAATACATGAGGACTATACTAAAGTATTGAAGGTTGAGAACCACTGCTCTAATTTTTTTTTATATCTGTTCAAGATAAGCTTGATGTCCCTGGCAATGGGCAATAACACTCTACATACAACTTTTCAAAGGCAGTTCATTTCATCTAATTCTTAGATACCTCTTTCTTATCATTTGTTGTCTTTTAATAGGGACAATAAGTATTCCTTCAAAACACTTGGAATTCATTATAAAAGGAAGGGAATGTTTAACTCACCGAGGGAGAGGTTGAAAATGGTCATAGGGCATGATCTCTTTAAATCCATCACTGCAAAGGAAACCAGAGTGGAAATAACTTTCTAAATTCACCACATGTGGTCATTCACTAATACAGGTTCATTGAGAAAATATCGTTTCCAATTCAATGAACATTAACATTTGTTAATTGACTAGCCTGTATTTGATATCCCACAAGACAGAAATCTTTAAAATTGAAAACCTGAAAATGCCATGTGGCTCATTGGCCACTCAACCAAAATTCAGACAGCATCTCCTCAGGTTTTAAGAGAAACACTCATGCAGGCCATCTCCAGTTGAATATAAAAAGAACTAATGGCATATTAATCAAAGGAAAAAAAAAACCTCCTCATCTAGATAAGTCTATTATTTCATTTTAAACATCACTATACTAATGTAATGTATTAATGCTACGAACACACTGTTGTGTTGGCCAAGTCTTCAGAGAACCACTCTGCTTCCAGACTCTGTCCTTTGAGAGGTCTCTGTTAATAGTGATGTCCAAGCAGGATTACAGAAAATGGGCATTATAGTACAGGAAATGTGAGCCACGGGCAAGGCTGCTTTTCCCACTTGCACACTGTGGCCTTGGCTGCCTGGACGGAAGCTGGAGGATCCAGGAGATTGATATTGGGCTGATATTTTAAGATACTGTAGGAAAGCCAGGAAACTTGCCCAGACAATCCAAGTCAGCAGGTACTAAATTATGCAGTAGGATAATTTCTGCATAGCCTCTCTGCTTTGGCATGAAAACTGCTTGCTTCCTTGCACAATGCATTATTTATACGGAGTTAAATGTGAACACTTAAAAAGCCAAGATGTAATGGGTGACCCAGTTTAAAGCCTAAAATAGTGAGTGGGAGATATTTGTGACTGACAGATGGACTATGTATGGAATTCTGGCATAGACATATACATATGGATCTTTGATGTATGTATTTGCAAGAATTGCCCAAAAGGCTTCATTGGAAAGATCTTAGGGATACATAATCCCATGACAAGAGAGAGCTAGCTCGAGGAACCAGATCAGCAAATGTGTCTTAGTTCCCATGACCTGTGGTTATAAATGTGATCTGTCACTGGGACACAATCAAAAGTCATGAACAGGAAGTGTGAAGGAACCACTGTGTCCCAATTGGAGTTGAATTGTTTCTTTGAAAAGCGTGGGCAATTGTACTAACCTCGATGGGCAAGGATCCATGCTGCATTCCTTCAGCTTTGGTTTGGGCTTCACATTTTCTGGGTAGTAATGGCAATAGTGGTCAGGCACCACCCTTTTCAAACGGATGTCCATGCACTCAGCAGAGTTGAGCTGATAACCTAAAGGTGTATGAGAGGAAGGGATGAAAGCTGTATCAGCCGTGCATCTGCTTGGCAAGGGTGCAGGCCACATGCTGGTCTTCCTCTCTAGGAAACCTAGCTCAGTGGTCTCTATGGTATTCAGCTCTGTGACAAACAGAAGCACAGGCGAGAATGACCACACATGGGTCCCAGGCTCTTCATGGTAATTAAGCCAGAGGCACTGCAACTGAAGCCCAGGATGTGGGTACTTTCTGTCCAAGAGGCTCAGATTCCTCCGAAACAACTAAAACCTGCTGCCGAACACACATGCTTGAACCGACTGCGGTCTATTGGTGCACATTACAGTTGACTCCTTTTAGGAACTGTCCAGACTGCCCTCGGGTACAGTGTGGCTCTTTATGGTTTTCAGGTTACTGTCTGGCTATTCCTGGTCACGGTGTAGCCCCCTCCCTCCTGCCTGTTTCCTTGTGTTATACCTTAGTCTCCTACAGCAGTACCCATTCCCATCTTCTTCTTCTCCCCAGATACCTGTTCTGATTTATCATTTATATATCTTTGAGTATGAAACTGCCTTGTATAACATTGTTTGGGTGCATGTTTTGAATTCAATTGACAGTTTATATATCTATGTGTATAATATATACAATATATTACATAATATTATTTACAATATATTTATATATAGTATTTAATCATACTCATACATGAGTATCATACTCATAATATACATGAGTATGATTAAATGTGTATATATTGTAAGTATGATTAAATATATAAACTTGATAAAGTTAGAAAATATATCTGTGTGCCATGAGATCAAACCCAGGGCCTTGGACAAGCCAAGTAAGCTCTGTGTCCTTGACCCAGACCCCCAGCACTGATGATGTTTTAACTGTTTTGAATCTTGGCCTATTTTCCACTTGTTAAGTTTTTTTTCTCCACACTGTAAAGTCTACAGCATGTTTTGAGAACTGAATATGAGCACGTCTTTCACAATAGTCCACTATTTGCCTCTGTTGTTTACTCATCTGCTCTCCTGAGGTAGCCAGGGCATCTTCAATGCCAATAATCTTGCTGCCTGGGGAATTAGCATTGTCAGTGGAGGCATTCACAAACAATCTCCCTACCTCCTCTACCACACAGGCTTCAAAGGGGAAGGAGTGAGGATGCACTCCTGATTTTAGTAAATCCAATGCCGACCTTTTTTTTTTTTTTTTTCCTTTGAGGAAAGCGAACATTCCAAGGTATTGAGCATAGTAAACCTAAAAAAAATAACTCAAGACAGGACCCTTTCCTTTCCTAAGAGCTCTGACTCCAGCTTTCCTGTTATTATAAAAATGTCATGTTAACTGTTTTTTTTTTTAAAGGCAATTTTTCAAAGCTAGAATGAGCTTTATAAAATTAAAAAAAATAACACTGAAGCTAATCTCTCAATGTCTGCCAACTGGTCTAAAGGTCTAAAAATATATCTCAAGTCCTGATTGCTTAGAGGAATCTGGCTTTGTAAACCGCCAAGCAGCTTTCTACAAGACATGGCTTGGACGTTAGATGACCTCAGAGGACCAGAGGACCGACTGGCACACATTACACAAAGTTGAAACCACAAGAATGGAAATGCAAATGGCGTCAATAAAATGTCACTGCGGTGCCAGTGTCTGCCAGAAAGACCACACTATCAGATGGCCATGGCAACCTCAGAGCCTTCCCAGACCATCTCGAGTGTATCCCGTGGATAATTACAGACGAGGGCAGGCAGTCCTTCCAGGACCATCGGTGCCTCCGAGACCAACCAACTAATTTTCTTCATTATCCAAAAATCTCTGGCATGCCATTCATACAATCACATAGGTTTGATTGCTAATATAATTAAAATTTGGCAGTGAGTTCTGTATGGGTTTGATGTGTGTACTTTTATTTCCCCCAAACAAATACAGAATAAGATTACGGTTCCTTGAATCAGACAAAAGCCTATGTCCTAAGTGGAAACATTCTTCTAAAGTGACTTGATAGGGGGCATACAGGTGTTTATAATTTGAGGGAGAGAATTCATTTTCCTCTTTAATTTTATTGCAGTTTAGAGATTACCAAGAGTAAAGAAATAAGGCAGATTGTCTTTCGATATTGTGAACAAATGCATTGACATCCTGCCAGTGGGTGGGAGAGGGCAGGCAGCCCCAGAGGCCTCTCTGTGTTCTTCTGCCGCCCTCCCATTGGGGCTGATCTCACTGGGAGGTGCCCCTGTGTCCACTCATGCTTCCACAAGGATGGGCTGCCTTTCCAGGGGCATCGAAGTATGGAATACAGCGCTCCCAAGAATCTGATCAATGGAACCACACCGAAACCTATTGTAAAATGTCTCCCCTGGAGTGAAGGGCTTCTCCTTGGTTTTATGAGTCCAAACGGAAGTGTGTGTCTCTGAAAAACTATGTGTGAGAGGCCAGGAATAAGTAAGAAAGGGAAGCCTGTTTCTCTGCAGAGAAAGAATTAAAAAGCCCCCACTATCTCTTTGTGATCCATCATTTGGGGACCCAAGAGGTACTGTTGTCTTCCTGGACCTGTGACCTACCTACCCAAGGATGTAGGACTCAACATACTACACTGTCCCACTCTCTCAGGAGCTCTCCTCAGTGTCCTTTGAGTCATGCACAGTCAGAACCAGTGTGCCTGAGACTGTGGGGGAAGGGAGGGGCCTCTGTGACCATTTTAGCTTTGGATACAGCAGATGACTCTGAAGGTGCCAGGTGCCACACCACATCCCTCGGCATGTATCATCACTGTGCTATACAAAGTGCCGTCGGGAGAAGAGAGTCCTGCCAACAGACGAGAGGCAGAGGCTCAAAGAGAGACAGACGAGTGAGTCTGATCCCGGATCTCCACCATCCCGCCTAGCGCACTAGGCCAGGCTGCCCTTTTTGTGGTGGATAAGATGGGACCAGAGACTGTGCCCACCAGGCAAATATTCTACCACTGAGTGGCATCACCCGCCCCAAGGCTGGCTGCCCCTGGCTGTGACCTTGGCATGCAAATGTCAGAGAACAGGATTGGCTCACTAAGGCCCAGGTTTATCCAACTCAGAGTTTCTATTCCTAATAGTGTTTCTCCTCCATAGCCTTGGGGAGAGCTCAGGGATTCTGTGTTTCCTTGGAGCCTGGTGCAGAGTCACTGACTAGAAGATCTAAAGGAGCTTTTGTCTCCTATAAAATTGTTTGTCTCAGCTGATGTAGCTTCGTTGGTAGCACGCTGATTTAGCATGCACAAAGCCCTGGGTTCAACCTCCAGTCCTGCACAAATTGACCATCGTGGAGCATGCCTATCATCCAGTGCTTGGTAGATAGATGTAGAAGGACCAGAAGTTCAAAGTCCCTTGCTACATAGCAAGTTTGAGGTGAGCCTGACCTACAGGAGACCTTTGTCAAAAAAAAAAAAAAACAAACAAGCAGGCAAGAACTGTGTTTGGTGTCTGACAAAAACCAGAAATTCACAATAATCCCAGAGAAGGTTCAAGTTGGCAGGAAGTTAGTAATTTTCTACTACAGTTCTGTTTTCCCTGTTGTTGTGCTCTGTGTGGCCAGAGACAATCATTTCCTATGTCGGGTGTTATGACTAAGTTATTTTTCTAAATATGCTTCAGTTTTAAAATCACCCATTTAAAGAAAATTCCTTGAGTTACTAATAGTGTGGTGGTAACACCTACAAGTCAAAAATGGTGATGCCACTGTGGCTCTAGCTGACGGCCAAGGGGACTTTACAGAGTCATCGTCAAAACACAGAGTGCACCATGAACTCCTGGGGCGCCCGTGAAATACAACAGAACCATCCTCGGAGTGCTGCTGCAGGAGCTAGGGGCAGGTCCAAGAATTTACATGTTGGTACTGCTGATGCTGGAGTTTTAGAAGGATGCTGTCCGCTGATGCTGGAGTTTTAGAAGGATGCTGTCCTGGCTAGTTTTATGTCAATTTGACACTAGCTAGAGTCATCTAAGTGGAGGGAGCCTCAGTTGAAAAAAAAAAATGCCTCCATGAGACCAGGATGTGCGCAAGCCTGTAGGGTATTTTCCTAATTAGTGATTGATGAGGGAGGGCCCAGCACATTGTGGGTGGTGCTCTCCTGGGCTGGTGGTCCTGGTTCTGTAAAAATGCAGCAAGCCAGCAACCAGCACTCCTCCATAGCCTCTGCATAAGCTCCTGCCTCCAGGATCCTGACCTGTTTGAGTCCCTGCCCAGGCTGCTTCCATGGTGGACCCTGATGTGGAATAAACCCTTTCCTCCCCAAGTTGCGTTCAGTCATGGTATTTCATCACAGTAATAGAAACCCTAAGACAGATGCCTATAAAGATCATAACTGAGTGTCCATCACACTGTGTCTAAACAAACTGGCTGCTACTCAGAAAATTCACTTTCTTCTTTCATTCTAGGGCCTTGACTTATCTTAGGCTATAACTCTTACATTCCTAAGGACACAGGCTCCCACTGGGGTCTGGGCTACCTGGTGCATCTCCTTTCAGGGGAAGCTTAAGTCCAGGAAGATCTGAGCTGCATGCTCATGGGAACCTGGCACTGCCCAAGGAGTCTGCCTCAATATGCCTATAGTCAGGATGAGAGAGGTCAGAACTCCTGTTCTCTTCCTGGCTTTCTTAATGGGTGTTATTCTGTAATCATTAAGGGAAGAAATGATTTGTGGCTGGGCTGAGCTAAGAAGTATTCTAACTCTTCAAACAGAACCCTGCCCAAGATGTATCCTTCACATAGGGATAGAAGACAGTTCAGGAGGCACAAAAGAGCAACATAATCAGAGCCTGACCATGCCACCTGATGAATTGGGACCCTTGCTGAGTTCTACCTCAGCCATGTGTAAAACAAACACCAAACTAGCTTTCTCAGGCTGTGAGGGATGTGACAAAGAAGCCTTGGTACACAGCTGGTCAGGCTGCAAGTGCCCAGTGTCACTGGTACTCACAGGGAAACTCCCAGCATGCTCCAGGAACCTGAGCAACTTGGGGATCCTGGGCTGGCACCAGTTCAAAATCCCTTACTCAGAAAAAGAGTCACTTTGGTGTTGGCTATGGCTGCCTCTCCATCTACACTAGGTTATCATGTCTCCACACAAGCAGACCAATGTCTTCTGAAACCCTTTATATTTTGGGTATGCGTACTTGGATTGCACTGGACTCCAAACCTTCTTCAACTGTCTGTTAGGGCCTTGAATTTAGTACACATGAAACACTTCCTTCTACTCCAGTCATGTCAACCAGGCATGTGTGCATCCCGACTCACAGCTCTGGGTATCCCAGAATGCAGTCTGTGCCTCACCTCCGCCACATGTCACGGTGCAGGGAAAGAAGTCAGTCTGCCTCCACTGATGGCTGATGGGCTGGTAAAAGAAGAACTGGACCACGCTGCCTTTGGCCACAGTGTACCTGGTCTAGACAGAGAGAACGGTGATGGCATGGCCCATTCCACACAATGAGTCCCAGCTCTTCCTGCCTTCTTTGCCCATCTTAGGCAACACCCACAAATATGACAATAAGCCAAGCTACAGGACTAGGAGGGCTTTAGAGGGGATAGCCTCTCCTCAGACTTACCCCAAATAGGGGTTCAGACAATTCTTAACTAATCACCTTGGAGTCATTTTTTTTTCATATAACTTTATGCCTGTGAATGGATTCACAAAACAGTGCGTGGACTTGTTTGCTTACTTATTTAGTATTTTTCCTTCCTGAAATATTAGTTCTACTTTTTCCATGACACCAGAAACTGAGGTTTAATTTGGGTTGGGTTTGCTTATAACATCTATATAATTGGGACTCTTGACTCCAGTGATTCATATTTTGCTTTGATATTACACAAATGGTATTTAATTTTCCATTAGTATGTATTAATTATACAAAGCAATAGGATTCATTACGATATCTCCATACAAGCCCATAATGTACTTTGATTCTAACATTTTAAATAGCACAAGTATTCCCCTCTAGAAGTTCTTCTAAGGGCACAACTCGGGAAACTTACCTGCAGTGAACACAGATACAGTGGAGTCCCATGTGAACGTTCTAGTAGCTAATTAAAAGGGAAGGGCACTGCTGGGGGCAAGCAGCAGTTATAGACAGGACTACGTTCATTTGTAGGTGATTTTACTCAAACAACAAGCTCTCTTCCTACGTTTTTCTTTAGTTTCTTCCCTGGTTGAACAACAGAAACCCCCATGAATTTAGGAAGCAGCACAAAGAGAAAAGAGTGAAAATAAAAGCTAAGCTCAAAAGAGGAAGCCCTCCAAATGTGAATATACATATGATCACCAAGACTTTATACCTCGAAATCACTGAGAGGAGATGACAAGTGTTTTCAGCACAGTAAAGGGACAAGGAAGTGAGGTAATGATGTCTCTAGCTGTTCTACTGTGTATGCAAATGTTCCAGAAGTAAAAGGATAAGGGCAGGCTTCCACCAGAACAGTGGTGACAGTTACAATGATAGAAATGTGAACAGTCGCAGACCAGGCTGGCGTGTGACAAACACTGTGTGAAGAAGGTGGTCCCCAAACATCTCGGGGCTCAGGATAGATAGTCTCTCTTGTAGAGTATTTTATAAAGTGAATACCAAGACTTGGAAAGAGCATGCCAAGGAAGCAAACAACCAGTCCTGAAGAACCAGAGAGATGGCTCAAAGGTTAAGAGCACTGGCTGCTCTTCTAGAGGACCTGGGTTCTAATCTCAGCATCCACATGACAGATCACAAAGGGAATTATAATTCCAGTTCCAGGGGATCCAATGTCATCTTCTCTTCTCCACAGGCACCAGGTACATACTTGATATAGAGGCATCCATGCAGGCAAAACACTCACACACATAAACTTAAAGTTAAAAAGAAAACCTATCTGTCCTGAAAACAAACACAAAATCTAAAATAATACAAAGCCACATCCAGTGACATATAAAAGGATACATAGTTTTATGAATAATAAAAATAATAATACCTAAAATATAATGATGCCTGAAGGGTACTTATAATAGAAAGCATGGATGGGTTAACATTTGAACCAGATCAAGAGGGAAAAAGGAGAAAATCCCATTATTATCTTAAAAGACACAGCAAGCTCTGAAAAGTTCTACACTTGTGTAGTGAAGGAGAAAGAGACACCAGCAAGCCAGCCACCCAAGGAGCAACATGTAATGGGACATAGGTAAAGCCACGGACCATGTGGCAATACATATATTAATGGTTATGGGCTATTTAAGATATAAGAGCTGACTAGCAAAAGGCTTGAGCCATGGCCATGTGGTTATAATTAATATAAGCCTCTGTGCGTTTACTTGGGGGATACGAGTGGGAGAGATTTGTCCCGACTGCTGGCAGGCTGGGACACAGGAAATCTTCCAACTACAGTGTAGTTTTATGAAACAAATCCCTTCCATCAGGTAAGATCTCAGAAGATTCTACAGGAGCTTCATATGAACTGTGTACAGAGAACTCTGCCATGAAATGACAGACATCTGAAGGAAGGCTGCTGTCCCATTTCTGCTCAACATCATGTCACATGTCGCAAATAATGCAAGATAAGAAGAAAACACAACACGACAGGAAGGAAATCTGTCATTGTACAGATGTCGCAATCTATACAGGTACACTTCAAAAGAACACACAAATGACTAGCGTGGATACGTGACTACGGCTAGAGCATAATGAGGTATAAAAGTCTGTTGGATTTTCACCCACTAGACACAGATGTATAGAAAGAAGGGGGAAGAGATATTTATAAAACATCAAAACAACCAACACTGGAGATAAGTGTAATTCAAGACAGGTGAGACACACGTGCTAGAAATCACAAATACCAAGAGAAACTTTAAGTAACCAGACAAAAGTGTGGAGACACTGTATTTATGGATTAGCAAGGCCAGCATTGGAAGCTGCTGATTTACACTGCTTAACAAATCCAAAGAATTCTGTTTGTTTGTTTGTTTGTTTGTTTGGAAAAATCATCTGAGTTTATTAATTTATATTTAATTCTTAAAATTTATTCTTTGGGGATTTCATGCATGAATACAATATATTTTAGGTCATATCCACCCCTCAGTCCCCACCTCCACCTCCTCCAAGGAGTTTTATACAAACTGACTTCAAGCCTGACAGGGAAATGTGGAATCAGGAATATCAAGGACCATCTTCAAAAACACAGCTAGAGTCTTCAGCACAGATATTAGGACTTAACTGGAACACAGTGTAGATAAATCACAATGGTATTGGAATAACTGTCCCCATGAAACAAAATCCCTCAGGACACCTGCAGAGTGGCCTCTGGATTTAGGGTTTGGGGAGAGGGGCTGTTCCCCATGCAGTGGCCCCATGTCAATGGGGTAGTCACACTGAAAGAAATACTAATTGAATTTCACAGAATAGACAAAGCTACGTTCGGGGGGAAAGGCAAAACATCAAGGCCCCATGAAGCAACACAGAAGAATGTCTTCATGACTGGGACAAAGCAAAGATTTCTTATCTTGGACACAAACAGCACCAAGGGTCTGTCACACCACAAACAGGTAGCAAAGATGGGCATGCCACACTGCCAACAGATGATAAAGATGGGCATGCACATTGTAAACAGGCAGTAAAGATATCTATGCCACAACACAAACAGGCAGTAAAGATGGATATGCCACACTGCCAACAAGTTAAGACCTATATAGGAAAAGTAACAATGGAGGAAACTCTAAACATGAAGTGAATTAAGAATTCAGTTCTACGTCTTCAATTCTAGCACTTGGAAGGCACAGGCAGATCTCTCTGAGTTCAAGCCCAACCTGTTCTATAGAGTGAGTTCCAGGACAGCCATGGCTACAGAGAGAATCCTTGTCTCAGGAAAAAAAATCAGCTCTAGAAACTCAAGACACAACATAAAAATAATCTGTAGAAGAAAATAACAAAGGTAAAAATGTATATAAACAGAAAGAAAAGTGAAACTAAGAAAAAAAGTTGACCAGCACAACTAAAAATTAGTGTCTAGACACATCAGAGATACTTTCTGGATGAGTAGAGCAAAACAAAAAATTAGACAAGGAGTCAATAAATTCTACTCTACTCTACTCTACTCTATTCTACTCTACTCTACTCTACTCTACTCTACTCTACTCTACTCTATTCTACTCTACTCTATTCTACTCTACTCTACTCTACTCTACTCTACTCTACTCTACTCTACTCTATTCTACTCTACTCTATTCTACTCTACTCTACTCTACTCTACTCTACTCTACTCTACTCTACTCTATTCTACTCTACTCTATTCTACTCTACTCTACTCTATTCTACTCTACTCTACTCTACTCTATTCTACTCTACTCTACTCTACTCTACTCTACTCTATTCTACTCTACTCTACTCTACTCTACTCTACTCTATTCTACTCTACTCTATTCTACTCTACTCTATTCTACTCTACTCTACTCTACTCTACTCTACTCTACTCTACTCTATTCTACTCTACTCTACTCTACTCTATTCTATTCTACTCTACTCTATTCTATTCTACTCTACTCTACTCTACTCTATTCTACTCTACTCTACTCTACTCTATTCTACTCTACTCTACTCTACTCTACTCTACTCTATTCTATTCTACTCTACTCTACTCTACTCTACTCTACTCTACTTTACTCTACTCTACTCTACTCTACTCTACTCTACTCTATTCTACTCTACTCTATTCCTTTTTGACAGGTCTTATTCTATAGCCCAGACTGCTTTGGAACTTACACTATGATCCAAGTTAGCCTCAAACTCTCAGTCCTCCTGCCTCTGCCTCTTAATTAATGATATCGCAAGCATGTTCCGAAATGCTTAGGCACATGCTTACTTAAAAATCCCATGCCTACTAACCTCTAATAGATGCCAGGGGCTGCAAGGAACCACACAATTTTTCCATAGCCTGTTACTCTCCAGTTCTTCAAGAGAACAGTGTGTGCTTCTTCCCCAGTCTTCAGATGCACAACTCCTTCTGCAAGGTCATTCCCATCTGATAACTCTGAGTTCCATGTCACGAGAAAATGCACAGAGGACTCCAGGAGAGGTGACAGCTCTCCACCTGCCTCATTTAGTCTGCTCCTCATTAACTGCTCTGGTCCTCCCTTCAGGAACTCTTCCCACCCAGGGGAGAAGAAGGGGCCCTGAGAAACACATCAGGTACCGCCAAATGCCATGTGTCCCCATGGTATATGTGAATGAACTTGAAGCTGCCGCCTTCCCTATTTAAGCCACGCCCCCTCCCCCATCCTAAGTAGATAGATCTGCCCAACAGGAGCGGAATTGAAAGTAGATTAAGAGTGGTTGAGATGGGCTTTGTGTTACGTTGTTACTTTCTTGGTTTTGTTTTGGCTGTTGTAACAAGCAGAGAAAATGGATTTTATATCTTAAGAGAAACATGGTAATA